TGAATTTTATACATGGTAATTTTAGACTCCTACAAAACCCGCATCTAAGGATAAAGGGATTTTGCAGCGCGGCGAGTCTATTGCATCGCAAAGACAGGTACTTTTAAAGTGTTTCATTTATGATCGGAATAAAAAACTGCATAACTTTGTATCTTACATAATTCTATATGATTTTTAAGGTACCTTCTCAAGATCAGTCACAGCAGGTGAGCCAGAAAATTAGTAGGGTTCCACCTAAGAAGAAGGTTCCTGTCCGTAAATTTGTGCCTAGGTATCGACAGTGTCTGGAGACACTAGTTGGCACATCAGATTTGATGAATGATGGAATTCGTCAAATCAATGTGGATGAAATTGTCTTTGGTTTTCCATGTACCGAAACAATTGGATTAGAGGACATGGAACAAATCTTTCATCATCGAGAGTTAGGCATCAGTGTGATGCACTCGTACATCCGGTAACCCGATCAATATATTATTTAATTGGTTGAACATTTTTTTTAAACATTTAATTGAAATAGTATAATATTAATTATGTTTTTATTTAAGGATGTTATTTGACAAATTGATGCGCGGGAATCAATTGTCAAATAGATTCCGTTTCGTGTCTTCCTCCCGTGTCAGCGGAGCAACAATTTCTAGGGAACCTGATTCAGTAAGAGAACACTTGGTCGAAAGATTCATGACAACTGCCAGTACAGAGAGCTTGTATCTTTTGCCTTATAATACAGGGTTAGATTTTCATTCTAAGCTCCTTTTAATATTTGTATTTTTTACATTAAAATTCGCTTCTAAATTGTTGCTTTAATTTATAGATGTCACTGGTTGTTGCTTGCAATCAATCCCATAAAAGAAGTGGTCTATTACCTGAATTCGGTTGACGGTGATTGGACAAATTATCCGGAAATGAAGCTAGTGATTGATACGTAAGTGACATTATTCTAAATATTCGTTTGTGTTTATATATTTAATTATTTCAATGTCATTGTTCTAAATAAATATTTTAATTTTGTCATCAGTTCAATACAAGTATTCCGATGTCAAAGGGAAGCACGAGTACCACGGTCTAAATCAAACAACATTAATTGGATCAAAGTACAAGTATATAAATTTCAACAATTTTGCTTATAATATTTATGCTACTTGATAAATCAATAGATGTGTATAATCTTATTTGTTTTTCTATGTAGTGCCCTCAACAACAAAACGGCATAGATTGCGGATACTTCGTTTTGAAGTTTATCAAAGAAATCATTCAAATGAATGAAATCGAGATTCCAATCACGGTATGGATTTATACTTTGTTTTATTACTTATCGGATTTTGCATATAATTTATTACATTAAACTAAATCATGCATATATTTTGTTTTGTAATGTAGTATTTTGATCAATACAATTGTCCATATTACTCGCCACGTCAATTGGAAGAACTCAAAGAGGAGTTGTGCCAATATTTTATTGAGCTAAGAATCTTATAATAAGGTACGAATACATTGTTGTGTGAAAATTGGTTAATTATGAATATATTGTTTTGTGTATACAACACTGACCGTGTTATTATGTTCATATTGCAGGATCAGGACCTTGGATATATATGTAGATTAGGATTGATTTACTTAGTGTTATATAGCTGATTTCTTAGGGTGTATTTTGTTACGTTTAAAAACATGTTAATATTGAATTACCATGGTGTATATATATTTTGGATATGAATTGATTATAATGGTATTTGTATATATATATAATATTTGGTATTTGAATTACATTTGGTATTTGGATTAAAACTAATATATATTGGTATTTCTAGATTAGATTGTAAAATACCGGTTTAAGAATTACAGGTTTGCTGCAAAAAAATGCAGGTTTAGAAATTTTTTAAATTTTAGATTTTTCAGTAGAAAACCTATGAAAGCGCTTTTAAGAAAAAAGCGCTCTCGTAGGCCTACCTATGAAAGCGCTTTTTGATTAAAAGCGCTCTCGTAGGCCTACCTATGAAAGCGCTTTTTGATTAAAAGCGCTTTCATAGATAGGCCTACGAGAGCGCTTTTTTCTGAACAAAAAGCGCTCTTATAGGCCTACTTTAGATTGCCTGACACGCATTCTGAATACACCTATGAAAGCGCTTTTTCAGAAAAAAAGCGCTCTCGTAGGCCTACCTATGAAAGCGCTTTTTACCAAAAAGCGCTTTCATAGGTAGGCCTACAAGAGCGCTTTTTTCTGAACAAAAAGCGCTGCTAAAACCTTTAGCAGCGCCACCTACGAGAGCGCTTTTAAGCGCTTTTAAAGCCCAAAAAAAGCGCTTTCGTAGGTTATTTCTGGCATAGTGATGATACATACTCATGATCTTTTAGTTGAAAAAACAATTTCACAAACTTATGGTTATGAGTAGACAACAAATATATGCATGATCTTTTAGTCGATGCAACAGTTAATATCATAAAATGACATTTGATTTGTTAACTTCTAGTTTATAATGATACGTGCTTCAATTGTGTTAATATAAGTGTAATACAAGTCATAGGAAAAAACCGATAGCTTTTCCATTACATATTTATTTTTCCAAATTATGTTTTGTAATACAGAGATATTCAATACCTCCATCATTTCTTGTTTCAATATGATATCCATTTAGACGAATGCCTTTGAAATTTATTAAATTTCTATGAGACTTGGAGGAATATAATGCATTATCAATCAGTAATATTGTTCCTCCATATAACAACACATTGGCACTTTTGGAGCCTTCAATTATTGTTTAGGTGTCGGTGCAAGCACGCATCCACTTCTAGTCATTCTGCTAGCTTCTTCTATATTCTCAACGGGCTGAGTTGGCTCAATCACAACTTATTTCCCATCTTCCCAAATAGTAGCACTATACTTCTAGGGAACAACTTTATTTGATTTATATGGAAATGTATTTGGCAAAAAAATAACCAAAGGGCTCTTGATTTGATAAGTGATTTCCATAGGTTCTGGATTATCAAACTCAGGAACAATGACAACTACCTGATCTACTCTTAGCTTAACACAGACTTTAAAAATGCTCGGTCCATTAAGCTTTAAATAACCAAGTCACATCCTTTAGGATTTTGTGCACGCACCTGACAATCAACATGATCATTCTTGAAATAACAAACTTCGCATGATCTAATGTGCAACTCATCCAATAAAGTTTTCACCAAGTTAACACTAGAATTCCGATAATCACCCGGACAAGCATCAACTATACTAACAGAAGGTCCTTCATGTTTTGGCAAATGATTGACTTGAACATTCGGCCCAACATCTCAGAACTTCAAGATACCACTTTTGATAAGCTTCTAAACTTCAGAACTCAAAGAAAAATGGGTTTCTAGATTATGACTCGACATACCTTGATGATAGGTGTAGCGGTAGAAATGTTGAGGCTAAGCCATTGGATTGAATTAACTGGCACATATCAAAAGAAAATTGTCACTGCGCTTTATTGTTTCCAGAGGAATGGGAAAAGAGCGAATAAAACAAAAAGAGGGAGAGAGAATCTAGTTACGGGGGTGGGTTATGAAAAGGGAAGGTATTAGCACCCTAAACATCTATGGTACCCCGCAATAACCTCTTTGAAAATTTATGTATTTTTGCTATAACTGTTATATACAAAAATAGATGGTGGAGATGAGAAAAAGAAGTATTTTTTACAATTTTGCACCCGCCGCGGTTGGGAACCTTTAGTGTCTATGTACCACCTTCTGTGTAATAGAGGACCAGGGTACTCATAGTTCTCCTTTAAATTTTTTAAAACACACGCGTGTTGGTTAATTTTAAAAGATGAGACATCATCGTCATATACGAGTGGAAAACATACTTACTACCCACGATTATGAGAAAATGGATTTTGTATCATCTCAAAGTGGAGGATATAGCTTGGATTTTAAAATCAACAAAGCCCCACTCAACACCTGTTGTAACCGGTTTGAAAACAAGATTCGTCACCCTTAATTTTTATCCTAAGGAAGGGAATATAAAGGATAACCCTAACATAGACAGAAATTCTAAGTTGTTGACTCGGTTTTAGATGAAGGGAAGGTGTTAGGCACCCCTTATCTACCTTGTTTGCAAGGATACTAGGATTTTGAGTTAGAAAAAATGTTTTAATTGTTGGTTAGCTGTTTCGAGTTTGATTTAATAACGAGTATGGTAAGATACAGAGTGGGGAGTCTGATATAGTCTCCTCATCACGTGGCCAAATATTGGTCATGTGTCGCTCATGGATGGTGAATTTGGTGAGTCGCATGGATTTTAATTGTTTGATTTTGAATAATAAACTAGTAAGCGATGTGTCGACCAATTTAATTACTCGAAGATGGACATCCTATTATTTATAGAATTTTTGAATTAATTCTTTGACACTTAACCAAAACTAACTTAATTAAAATTAAATTAAATAGTTAATAAAAAAGAGTAAATGAAATAAAGAATAAAGGGATTTCTAAAAGCATATAGGGTTTGAATAGATTAGGGTTCAAGCCCAACTAATAAATATGCCTAATTATATTTCTAATAACCTAACAAATAATAAAAAAATTAAAAATAAAATTAAAAACCTACTAACGTGGTGGATGGTGCTGCACATGATGTGTAGCTCATAATTTCAAATTAACATCATGACCACTCATATTACACTTGGCATGTTATTTTTTATTTGAAATAATAATAATAATAATAATAATAATAATAATAATAATAATAATAATAATAATAATAATAATAATAATAATAATAATAATAATAATAATAATAATAATAATAATAATAATAATAATAATAATAATAATAATAAAAATATTAACATTTAATAGATAAAAGAAGAAACAAATCCATATTATTACTCTCCATGTCTCTTCATCGTCACATCCCTTCACACTCTATACCTTCTTCTTTCTAAAAAAAAAACTCCATGAAATAACACAAAAGAGAAAAAAAAATAATTGACACAAGATAAATACCAATCAACCCGCGAGGGCACCTAGAGAACTGGTGGTGGAGCAGAAAGAGGAATTGCAGATCTTGGGCTGAGGAGGTTGACGTGGGAGCAGGATGACGACGTCAATACGGAGGCTTCACCCGGCAGTTTGAAGTTGCGGATTGGTGCAGTATTCAGAGGGCTTGAATCTGCTGTCCGGTCGACCGCGTGGGAGTCACCGACATGTGTTGCAGGTGAGATGTTGTGCATGCGCTATCTAGGTATGTCCATAAATCTCGAGACGGCTGCGTTCATCAATGGTAAGCGGATTCAGATTTGGTCAGAGTTTCTGAGGGGAATGTAGTGGAGCTTGTACTGGTGGTGCTGTCAACAACCGCATAGGTGGGATATTATCGGTGACTGTGATGGTTAGATTTGCGGCAGAGGAGAGTGCGAGTTGAGGTTAAGAATGATTTCACATGGGGCGCAGTTATGCGTGAACGGGGATTGACCAGAGTCACTGTTGCTAGGCGTGAGGTGGTCGGTAAATTGATGCTCTGAATCTTGCAGGCTGTGTATGATTTGGTCTTGTTTGTTTTGATTATATTTTGAACCTGTAAGCAAAATTACAAAGGTACAACAAGAATACGAGAAATTACACTATACCATGATGGATTTTGTTTTTTGATATGTTCTTGTTTTTTCTATATTGTGATGAGAGTTTATTGTGATTTTGGTGAAATTGTTAGAAAAAGAAATAAGTAACAACATTAGTGAAGGATTAGTAAACTTATATGAACAACAAAAATAAATATATAAAAAAAAAGTAATACAAATTGTTAGAAAAAAACAATTACCAACGTAAACTATAAATTTTTAGATGGAAAAAAAAGGAATTCATATTAGTTAATAAACATATGAACGAAGTGGTAGTGTAATATTTACAATAATGTGAAATAAACAAGTGTGGATAAGAGTGGATGGAATAGTGAGCTTTGTTGATTGTTGATATTGTGTGTGTGATTGGAAATTTTATGGAACTGTGAATGAGAATTGTTGGTGAATTGTGGATGAAAAATTAGGACAAATAAAAGTCCTACTTATAGACTTAGAATTAGGTTAAATAAAATTTAGAGACTAAGTTATCTAAAAACTCAAAAGAAATCCCAAAGTTTGATCTCCAAAAAAGGGAAGAAAATTAGTAAAAATAAGAAAAATGTTTAAAAGTGCCACACACGAGATTCGAACCCGCAACCTCATACTTGCAAGATTAATTCCTTACCAACTGTGCTATATTACTTATTAAAAATAAAAATCCAATTGAAAGTACATGAAGATGAGCAAGTATTTATTTATACAAAATACAAATGATATGAAATAAATCATTATATTTTAAAATAAGTTTGGAAGCGAATATTTATAAAAATCAAAGAATATTATAAAAACAATGTTTTGAAAATATTTTTTGACCATAGAAATAAATGGAGGGAAAATTTGGGGTCTGACAGCAACCCCCTATTTGATCACTCTTCGACTGAATGGTGTGAGAATACGCAGGTCTCGCATATTCGAATCAGACGCTTATTAAATAATAGAAGACCCTAAAATTTGACCAAAGGTTGGCTAGATAAGGATACGTTGTACAATGTTCCCATGGATGTGAAGAGTAGGTATAGATGATGATGTATCATCTTACCAGCATTTAAACCAATTTTTTTTATAGAACTTAGACACGACGATACGGATAACTCGTCAGTATCTAAGAGATTGTAGATTCTTTTCATATTTACAAAAATATAAGTTTTTAAAAAGTTAATTTACTAATGCTTGGAGAATAATATAGTAAGTTTCAATTTGATTTGATTTTGTCTATTCATCGCAACCTAGGGGATGAATAAAACAAAGTCTGATAACACATTGCTGCATGGAGACTGATGCAACAGATTACGTAGATTTATTCACATATCTATCACAACGTAGGGGATAGATATTTGAAAAGAAATTCTCTCACCTACGGAAACCTAGGGGGTAGATGATTGAAAATGCTTGATAACACATCGTTGCATGGAGATTGACGCAATAAGTTATATTGCAGATTTTGTCCTGTTTACTACAACCTAGGGAGTAAACATTATGAGAAGGAACATGTGTATTTATTGAAACCTAGGGGATAAAAGAAAACAAGGGCGGGCTTACGTTATTCATCACAACCTAGGGGATGAATAATATAACCCTGAAGATTCACATATCTACCACATCCTAGGGGATAAATAATTGGAAAAAAACTTGATAAAAACATCACTGCATGGAGACTGAAGCAATGAGTTATATTGTCGACTTCATCTTGTTTACTCCATCCTAGGGAGTAAACAGTACGGGGATGAATTGATGTATTCATTGCAACCTAGGGAATGAATAATATGAATCCAAAATCCGCACATCTACCACAACCTAGGGGGTAGATGATTGAAAAATATTGATAACACATTATTGCATGAAGACTGACGCAATGAGTCATATCACAGATAAAAATTTGTTTTTTGATGATCAAATCTTAGATAACAAGATCAAAGATGAGATTAGATTTTTTTACTGGTTGTGTATGTTCTCAACCAAGGTAATTTTTTAGCATAAAAAAATGCTAGGTTTTAAGATTGAAACTGAATTTTTGCTGATGATGCCGGTTGGGTTTGTTCTCAACCAAGGCTATCAACATGAAGAAATGAACCCCAAATTTACTGATGATGTCGGTTGTGTCTGTTCTCAACCAAGACTATGAACATAAATAAATGAAACCCAAAATTTTGCTAATGAAGCCGGTTGTTTCTATTCTCAACCAAGGCTATGAATATAAAGAAATGAACCCCAAATTCACTGATGATGCCGGTTGTGTCTGTAAGTATGAAGTGCGCCTAAGAGGGGGGGGGGTGTGAATTAGGTACTTTAAAAATTTATGGTTTTAGTGATGATGGATATTATTTTTCTAGTTTATGGTGAGTTTATGAAAGAGTAAAGTGCAGAAAAATAAAGAGACACAAGCGATATATCCTGGTTCCCCTCACAGTCCGAGAGTACTCCAGTCCCCTTTCAACATGAAAGAGATTTCCTTATTGTGGCAAACTTAAACAAGAACTACCCAAAACCAAGAACAATCCTCTTGGACCATGGAACAATCCTCTTGGATTTTAACGATGTCAATAATGAGAACAATCCTCTCAAAGTGACTTTACTTGTATCCAACAATCCTGGAAAAACAAGATTTATAAAACCAATTAAACTTATTTCCAATAATCCTGAAAAATAAGCAAGTATATAGCAATATTTGATTTGAGTGAGTTTGAGTAGCAATGATCACTTTGAGTGATTTAATCAATGAAATGATCTTCTCTTCCAATGATGATAGTATACAATGACTCAAGATATATAATGCTCAAAGTTTTATGGTCAACAATATGTGAAAGTGTGCAGAAAACTTGTGTATGAAAATATATAACAACTTGAGTTTGATTTTTGAAAATTCAGAGAAAATGATTGGAAGAGGTGTTTAAAATGATTTTGAAAATGAGTATTTATATGTTCATAGCACCCTTTTGTAACAACATAAAGTTCTGTAAATGAATCATGAACAATTTCCAAGATTGAGTGAAAGGTTTCCAGGAATTGGTGTTATGAACAGGCATGAGTAAAGCTGCTGTTTTTCATAATCGTGCAACATGCAATCGATTGCATCCTTTGTGTAAATCGATTGCACGGGGTTTCAACAGCTAGAAATTCAAATATTTTGAGTGTGCAATTGATTGCACACGTGTGTAAATTGAATGCACTTGAAGTCAGTAGCAAAAATTTATTGAGAGTTATCGATTGCACAAACATGCAAATCGATTGCACTTAGAAACAATAGAAAATGTTTTTGAAAATATGAAGCATGCAATCAATTGCACTAATATGCAAATCGATTGCACTCAAGTGAAAATTGATTTTTAGCTTAGAAAAACTTGAGTAAGGATTTGGAAAATATAAAATATTTCGTTTGACCATTGAGCATCTATGTCTTAAGTTCAAAGTAAGTATTATCATTATAACTTGAAATTTTGATAAGTGATTGAACCAAAGACTTTATCCACAAATGTTTTTATCTTGATCAATAATCTTTGCCTTCTTTTTCAATCATGGTTTGTCTTCATAAAAATAAAAGTGCATTTGAGAAGCTTGATTTTACATTCTCCCCCTTTTTGATGATGACAAATGATCTTGCTTGATGCGTTGTAATTTCTGGAAAGAGCTTCTCCCTCTAAGATGCATAACTCCCCCTTTGTATGAGAAGGTTGGAATCCTTTGATTTTGTTCATATTGGTTGAAGAGTACCTTAGAAATTTAAGACAGGAAATATACAAGCATAAAGTGCCACATCCTTCCCCCCCTTTGACATTATCAAAAAGAAGGGAAAGATGTAATAAAAATGGACAATAATAAAGAAATATTGAAAAAAAAAATTAATCATGCATCACAAATAGTCATAGTAACATAACAATTACAAAGAAACCTAAAAAATAACAAATAAAATGTAGCATAATCAAACACGGACATAACAGAAAATAGTAGACATAACAAAGTTTGACAGAACTTTATGGTTGATTCATGTCCCGGTTGTTATAGAACCAAGATCCTTGATTTGAAAATTGTTGTTGTAGAGGATGTTCTGTGTAATGTGGTGGAGGTGCATCTGGATTATTTGGGTCATATGGTGGAATGTGAAGGTGAGAGTAAAGGTAAGAAAATTGTTGATTCATATATGTGCGGAAGTCATTAATTTGGGTTGTTATAGAATCGTTGATAGCATTCCATTGGTTGTGGATGTTGGTATTCATGGAAGCAAATTGTTGAGACGTGAAATCCATAAGATCTTGATTGCTTGGACCAGAGGGAGCAGTAGGTGGAGGAGGTACAACTTCACCACCTTCAACTTCTTGATCGTTTCCTTCATCACCGACCACACCTTCACCAATGTAAGTTATAGTTTTTGTTTCCAGATTATAATGAACACCCATTCTTGAGTCAACATTTTAAAATGAAATCTTATATAGATCTGGATCCATATTAACTTTCTCAAACCCAGCAAAATCAACTTCAAATTCTTCCATAATTAATGTAACAAAGTAAGCATATGGTAGAAATTTTGATTTTTCATCAACCCTCAACATATGAATCATTATGAGCCTTGCCCAATTAACACTTATACCTTTCTTCCTTGCATAGATCAACTGCATTTC